AGGGAGGGAGGGAGGGAGAGGGAGGGAGGGAGGGAGAGATATGGATAATAAGAGAAGAAAACTTGTATAGGAAACTAATAGGGTAGAAGGTTTATGAAGAGGAAAGTATTGGGGTGCTTACTCGAGACGGTGAAAGGTAAACCATGGGAAGACTTAAGGTAAAAACGATAGTAGAGTGAATAGAAAGGTAAAATGAAGAGCTCAACCCCCGCAAGCACAACTAGGTGAATACACACACACACACACACACACACACACACACACACACACACATACACACATACACACATACACACATACACACATATTCATTCTACAAGTACCCAAATGAGCCATGAAGACAATAGAAAAAATTTTGTTTAGAGTCAGAGTAGTTAATAAATGGAATGCATTAGGAAGTGATGTGGTGGACGCAGACTCCATACACAGTTACATTTAAATTTAGGCGGGACCAAAGATCAAGAACTCAACCCCCGCCAACACAACTAGTCAAATACAACTAGGTGAGTACACAAGCGTGGTGATCGGCCCAGATGCTCCAGCAATTCACAAACAATGACGGCGCCCTATTTTGTTGGGGCTCGATTGATTTTTAAAACTTTATTACTTATTCAGGGCGCTCATCATTACCTTACTGTGTATTGTGCGGCGCGGCTGGCCTTGGGGGGCGTCTCTGCTCCCTGAGGGGGAGAGGGAGGCCAGGAAATGGGGGGAAAGGGGGGGGGAGATGAGGACGTGTAGAAAGGAAGATAATAAGGGTAGGGAGAATTTGGAAGGGAAAGGGAGGGAGAAAACTGGGGAATTGCGAGAGCATGGGCCAAACATGTTTGGAAAAGGGGGGGGGGGGAATGAGGTTGGAAAGAGAAGGGATATGGTGAGTCTTGGGTTTTTTGAGGAGGATGTGTGCTTCATGATTAGTGGGTTGGAAGTGGGGCAAGGGAGAGAGAGAGAGAGAGAGAGGGAAAATATGGAGAGAGGGAGAGGCGGGGGAGGCTGGGTTACAGGGCAGGAGGATTGTTAGTTGCTTTGATGAAGTTATGACATAATTTGGGAGAGGGGGAATGTAAGAGGAATGTTGAAAGCTGGGAGAGTATGTGGGAGAGACTGACGGAAGGGTTGGGTGCGAAGGATGGAAGGATTGGACTGGGAAAGATGACATATTGGGGGCAAAATGTTTTAAAAAGTTATTATGACAAGTCTGTTAAATTTACATCACATAATGTAACATTTCTGCACGTCCCTCCCCCTCAGATCTGAGGCGGAGGGAGGGGAGGGGAAGCCAGTACAAAAGTTGAAACCTTCCAAAAGCAGACAAACACCTTGATGCAGTTGGTGAGAGGAGTGGGGTGGGGGAGGGGCTTGCGTGTTTCGATGATCAAGCAGGCTATTTTCGCAAGATCCTTTAGACAAACGGCAGAGCATCTCACGTTAAACAAACTACCGAGAGGAGAACTCCAGCCAAATGCTGCCACAATCTGCTGGTTGGGTCACCCTGTGTTGGAGAGTTTCCTGGGGGGACAAGGCCCTCCAGACGTCTGTTGGTGTAATTCTAATAAATACTATTAAATCTGAAGTATGTAAATATGATTGCTAGGTAAAACACTGCCCTCAACATACTTAACATACCAGCAGACTCCCTCGTCATGGAGCTCAAGCCAAACAGCGGAAATATTTCAGAACTGTCGAAAAGAGGATCGTGGAGAAACTACACAAGAGGAATTAATTCACACACACGTCCAAGTAAAATATGGAAAGCGATGGGAAACTTGGCAGACGAACTCAGCCTTCAACTCGCGTCCTGCTCCACGTGGTGGCTGAGACTGTCTTCCTCAACACGTTCACCGGCATAACCACTTATGGCACATAGGATTATTTTTAAACTAATTGGGAAAGTGAACCCCCTAAAATATACTGCCAATGCAGAACTGTGCCAAGAGTATTTCACTACAGGTATAAGAGAGAAAATGAGATCCCACTTAAAATCTCGGAACACCTTCCCAAGAACATTTTGAAGACTTGAATCGTCTTTGTTCGTTACTAGACCTGGCAAAAATGCGAACCTTGCCAGATACAACAGCCCTATAGATTAAACTTTTTGCACACATTTATGTTTATGGGAAATGTGATAAATCTTGATAAATCTGGTGGGGTCCTCCCTCCTTACAGAATAGCTTGATAACTGTAATCCCAAACCTGCATATACCCATCGCACTTTGGATTTAAGGAGACCAAGTTTTGTGATTGTGTGAAACCCTGGTTCGGCTTCAATGGAAGCCTCGGGAAACCCTCGTGTGTTCAGCAGAACTCCAGGTTGCAATCCTTTGACCATGTCGTGCCCTGGTTGTCTGGGGCGTGTGCGTGGGACTACCCACCGCATAGGTTCGAATCCTCATCACGGCTGCTACGGATTTTCTTCTGTACAGAGACTTGGGTGGAATGATCTTGGTAATGTGAACCGATCAACTCGTTCTATAACATCTACAGACAATCAAAACTTTAATCAATCTCTTAAATAACCGGTTAAATTTAGAAAGATTCACAAGCACTAGCCTCTGATCACCAGAACATTAATAAATTGCTTAAAATCTCAAAGACCATACACTACAAGCAATAACAGAGTTGTCAAGCATTGCACCTTGATACATGGTCCACAGATGTGATAAAAACATTGGTCATAGACCACACAACAATTCATTCGAATTGTGAAATATATTTCTTTCACGGGTGGTTCAGACTCCCAGGAAGGGTACATGTGTGTGTTTATAAATATCGAATATGCAGTGGCAAATTGTTCCAAACAGCATGTACATTTACAGACGAGATAACGGCCGCGAGTCAACCACTACAAATAATAGATGAAAGCTCCAAAATGCTATTTGTGATACATGGAGGCTGGACTAATTTAAATTTTCCAGGTGCATCTTTTGTTGCAAAAAGCCTCAAGAGTTGCAATATCGGGATGTCACAAAATACAAGAACATTCACTTCTGTTGGATTTTCTTCACTCGTGTAGGAATCCCAGCCAAGGAAGCCAAGGCAGTTAAGAGGAGGACTATGAAGCCAAGGCAGTTAAGAAGAGGACTATGAAGCCAAGGTAGTTAAGAAGAGGACTATGAAGCCAAGGCAGTTAAGAAGAGGACTATGAAGCCAAGGTAGTTAAGAAGAGGACTATGAAGCCAAGGCAGTTAAGAAGAGGACTATGAAGCCAAGGCAGTTAAGAAGAGGACTATGAAGCCAAGGTAGTTAAGAAGAGGACTATGAAGCCAAGGTAGTTAAGAAGAGGACTATGAAGCCAAGGTAGTTAAGAAGAGGACTATGAAGCCAAGGCAGTTAAGAAGAGGACTATGAAGCCAAGGTAGTTAAGAAGAGGACTATGAAGCCAAGGCAGTTAAGAAGAGGACTATGAAGCCAAGGTAGTTAAGAAGAGGACTATGAAGCCAAGGCAGTTAAGAAGAGGACTATGAAGCCAAGGTAGTTAAGAAGAGGACTATGAAGCCAAGGTAGTTAAGAAGAGGACTATGAAGCCAAGGCAGTTAAGAAGAGGACTATGAAACCAAGGCAGTTAAGAAGAGGACTATGAAGCCAAGGCAGTTAAGAAGAGGACTATGAAGCCAAGGTAGTTAAGAAGAGGACTATGAAGCCAAGGCAGTTAAGAAGAGGACTATGAAGCCAAGGCAGTTAAGAAGAGGACTATGAAGCCAAGGCAGTTAAGAAGAGGACTATGAAGCCAAGGCAGTTAAGAAGAGGACTATGAAGCCAAGGCAGTTAAGAAGAGGACTATGAAGCCAAGGTAGTTAAGAAGAGGACTATGAAGCCAAGGTAGTTAAGAAGAGGACAACGTTAAAGACGCTGCAGCGCTGGTGCCAAGATGCACCCACACCCAGCCCCCCCCCCCTGCACCTCACGGAGCTAGTAAAGCCGCGTAGAAAGAAAGTGTGAGCACCATTACCAACAGAACTTTGTAAACACTACGAAAATTAAACGGAAGTAAAGTAGGTTACTCTGTTATACCCCCACACGCCTCGCACCTCCCCACGCCCCCCACCCCCACACGCCCCCCTCTTCCCCACACGCCCCCCTCTTCCCCACACGCCCCCCACCTCCCCACACGCCCCCCTCTTCCCCACACGCCCCCCTCTTCCCCACACGCCCCCCTCTTCCCCACACGCCCCCCTCTTCCCCACACGCCCCCCTCTTCCCCACACGCCCCCCACCTCCCCACACGCCCCCCTCTTCCCACACGCCCCCCCCTCTTCCCCACACGCCCCCTCTTCCCCACACGCCCCCTCTTCCCCACACGCCCCCCTCTTCCCCACACGCCCCCCTCTTCCCCACACGCCCCCCTCTTCCCCACACGCCCCCTCACGCCCCCCACCTCCCCATAATATGCACCCTCCACCATGGCAAAAGATATTGACAAACATTTTTAAATAACATAAAATCGGAAAGAGAACTTGATTATCGTCGATTGTAATACAACTTTATCAGCGACAGATACTATCTGAACACTTCATATAAACTCAAATATAACATCAAAAGCAGTTGGTAACTCATCAGTTTCGACACTTGGCATTTAGCCTGACGTCTGCAGTATTAATAATACCAGTTGGGGACACAAGTACACTGTGGTCTCCAACAATAGTAGTCACTGTATTTCTAGTATTGGTCATTGTATTTCTAGTGTTGGTCATTCACTTCCTAGTGACAATGCCCACAGCCTGTCTCAAATGTTTGCTTAACTAGTGTGCGTAGTCGGGGTCTAGAATGACAATATTTAAAGTTTGATGTCTCAAGTGTCGAGTATTGACGTAAGGTTCTTGGAGCAGTCTGTGACTGGGCCAGGAGTCTCCCCCCCCCTCCCTTCACTCCCCTTCACCTCGGGGGAGGGGGGGGATTCCACCCTCCTCCCCACTGAAGACTCTTCCTCCCCCACCCTCCCCCCCACACTTATACCCACAACACGATTCGCTACGAACTTTCCTGCTACTGGAGCGCCTGAAATGCTGCCTCCAGCTACGGGGACGCCTGGAACTTTGCCTCCAGCTACGGGGACGCCTGGAACTTTGCCTCCAGCTACGGGGACGCCTGGAACTTTGCCTCCAGCTACGGGGACGCCTGGAACTTTGCCTCCAGCTACGGGGACGCCTGGAACTTTGCCTCCAGCTACGGGGACGCCTGGAACTTTGCCTCCAGCTACGGGGACGCCTGGAACTTTGCCTCCAGCTACGGGGACGCCTGGAACTTTGCCTCCAGCTACGGGGACGCCTGGAACTTTGCCTCCAGCTACGGGGACGCCTGGAACTTTGCCTCCAGCTACGGGGACGCCTGGAACTTTGCCTCCAGCTACGGGGACGCCTGGAACTTTGCCTCCAGCTACGGGGACGCCTGGAACTTTGCCTCCAGCTACGGGGACGCCTGAAACGCTGCCTCCAGCTACGGGGACGCCTGGAACGCTGCCTCCAGCTACGGGGACGCCTGGAACGCTGCCTCCAGCTACGGGGACGCCTGGAAATGCTGCCTCCAGCTACTGGGACGCCTGGAACGCTGCCTCCAGCTACTGGGACGCCTGGAACGGTGCCTCCAGCTACTGGGACGCCTGGAACGCTGCCTCCATCTACTGGGACGCCTGGAACGCTGCCTCCAGCTACTGGGACGCCTGGAACGCTGCCTCCAGCTACTGGGACGCCTGGAACGCTGCCTCCAGCTACTGGGACGCCTGGAACGCTGCCTCCAGCTACTGGGACGCCTGGAACGCTGCCTCCAGCTACTGGGACGCCTGGAACGCTGCCTCCAGCTACTGGGACGCCTGGAACGCTGCCTCCAGCTACTGGGACGCCTGGAACGCTGCCTCCAGCTACTGGGACGCCTGGAACGCTGCCTCCAGCTACTGGGACGCCTGGAACGCTGCCTCCAGCTACTGGGACGCCTGGAACGCTGCCTCCAGCTACTGGGACGCCTGGAACGCTGCCTCCAGCTACTGGGACGCCTGGAACGCTGCCTCCAGCTACTGGGACGCCTGGAACGCTGCCTCCAGCTACTGGGACGCCTGGAACGCTGCCTCCAGCTACTGGGACGCCTGGAACGCTGCCTCCAGCTACTGGGACGCCTGGAACGCTGCCTCCAGCTACTGGGACGCCTGGAACGCTGCCTCCAGCTACTGGGACGCCTGGAACGCTGCCTCCAGCTACTGGGACGCCTGGAACGCTGCCTCCAGCTACTGGGACGCCTGGAACGCTGCCTCCAGCTACTGGGACGCCTGGAACGCTGCCTCCAGCTACTGGGACGCCTGGAACGCTGCCTCCAGCTACTGGGACGCCTGGAACGCTGCCTCCAGCTACTGGGACGCCTGGAACGCTGCCTCCAGCTACTGGGACGCCTGGAACGCTGCCTCCAGCTACTGGGACGCCTGGAACGCTGCCTCCAGCTACTGGGACGCCTGGAACGCTGCCTCCAGCTACTGGGACGCCTGGAACGCTGCCTCCAGCTACTGGGACGCCTGGAACGCTGCCTCCAGCTACTGGGACGCCTGGAACGCTGCCTCCAGCTACTGGGACGCCTGGAACGCTGCCTCCAGCTACTGGGACGCCTGGAACGCTGCCTCCAGCTACTGGGACGCCTGGAACGCTGCCTCCAGCTACTGGGACGCCTGGAACGCTGCCTCCAGCTACTGGGACGCCTGGAACGCTGCCTCCAGCTACTGGGACGCCTGGAACGCTGCCTCCAGCTACTGGGACGCCTGGAACGCTGCCTCCAGCTACTGGGACGCCTGGAACGCTGCCTCCAGCTACTGGGACGCCTGGAACGCTGCCTCCAGCTACTGGGACGCCTGGAACGCTGCCTCCAGCTACTGGGACGCCTGGAACCCAGCGCCTGCTACAAAAAATGCTTGAAGTGGGAGAAACTTAGGAACTGCCCCCATCTGCACTGGTATTAAATATATATGCAATATGTGTTATTTACCAATGGTACTAAATCTGGACAGGTGTTGCTGTATATTAACGCGTTCTCCCTTTTATTTTCGCGTCTCGAGTATTTAATGTCCGCGAGTGGTGTCCTCGCCAGTTATTTTGGTGTCTGAGAGTTATTTTTCATGATCTATGAGGAGGGTCGCTCGTAGCTCTTGGGCCCCGCTTTTTAGTAGCCGGTGGTATATTGCAATAACTCTCTCTCTCTAGCTCACTATATTGCAATAACTCTCTCTTACGTGGTTATGGGTCATCAGTTTCTTGTACCACTTTGTTTAACACGTGTAAGAAACTTTTATGTCGTGATCATGTCTCTTTGACTGCAATTTAGCTTCTGGTGGTGTAGTAACACATTCGCCGCGCGCCTCGCCAGCGATTTGGTCAGGGTTCGAGTCTTGGCCAAGGAGAATTAACTGGGCCCCAATCCTTAACTGTTCGCCCTGTATTCACCCAGAAGTAATTGGGTGCCTGGTTGTAAGCCGATTGGCGGGTCGTGTTCCAAGGGAAACTAGTGGGTAAGGCTACCCACTACCATGAACTATGGGATGGGAACGCTCTCAGTCTGCTTACACAAGTCAAAAGTCGTCTGCTCCTGGACCCGCCTCTTAGAAAAAAAAGCTTGGGCTTAGGGAAAAAAATTTGGGCTTAGAAAAAAAAGCTTGGGCTTGGCCGGGCTTGGGGGTTGCATACACTTATATCTTGTTGCCTGGGCCGCCAGCAGTGTTCCCGCAAGGTGGCCTCGTCCTTCCTCACACCCTCACACACCCGCCCTAGCCGGGTTTGCGAGGAAGTGAGAATTTTTTGGGTAGGTTTAAAAAAAAAAAAAAACTTAAATATAGACTAAATTAGTTATTTCTATTTAAATTTAAACTTGCATTTTTTTATCAATTAAATATATAAAAACTCGACGCACTCCAACACGGGTGGTTTTTTTATTTTTATTTTTTACCATCTTGGTATGTTAGTATTGCCACCTTGTCCTCCTTATCTTATGATGATTTCGGGGCTCAACATCCCCGCGGCCCAGTCCTCGATCAGGCCTCCTAACCCTAGCCGTTAGGCCTCAGCCCTAACTCCTTTACATCTTCCGCGCGTCTAATTCAAGGACTCTCTCTCGTCCCGTATTTCTTGTCGAATCTGGATTTAAAACTTGGTTATGAATGAAGGTAGCCCGCTACTATTGTGTTGTTTCCGCTTGCTTATTGCTCATTCACTAAGGAACACCTTCCTTGCATCCTTGTGGCTAATCGTCGTCTCGATAGCCTGGGTATTTTGTATGCCTGGAACATATATCCTCTATTTTTTATGTTTGTGTGTTTGTGTTCTAAGGTAGTTTTTTTTTTAGGTCTGTTTGTGTAAATATAAAGGATACATGGATAAATGAACCTCCCAGTCCCGTCTATCCAGCGTTTACTGTATTGTAATATCTGCATAGCGGCTGTTGGGTCACGTGATTTAATGCGCTAAACTAACCCATTTGGACCCATTAACAAGGAGAAATTAAGGGAGGGGGAGGGAGCCAGAGCATAGAGTAATCTAATTGTAGGGGGAAAAGAGGTGATGGCAAAGGGGGAAATTCTCCCACTTTGATTTTAAAGGGGAAGGGGAGGATTAAGGGGAAGGAGATTTAGTATGTATGGTGGTATTTTTGTGTGCGTGAGCGCCCGCCGTCCTGTCCGCCTGCCGTCCTGCCCCCTCGCCTGCCGTCCTGCCCCCTCGCCTGCCGTCCTGCCCCCTCGCCTGCCGTCCTGCCCCCTCGCCTGCCGTCCTGCCCCCTCGCCTGCCGTCCTGCCCCCTCGCCTGCCGTCCTGCCCCCTCGCCTGCCGTCCTGCCCCCTCCGCCTGCCGTCCTGCCCCCTCCGCCTGCCGTCCTGCCCCCTCCGCCTGCCGTCCTGCCCCTCGCCTGCCGTCCTGCCCCCTCCTGCCCCCTCGCCTGCCGTCCTGCCCCCTCGCCTGCCGTCCTGCCCCCTCGCCTGCCGTCCTGCCCCCTCGCCTGCCGTCCTGCCCCCTCCGCCTGCCGTCCTGCCCCCTCCGCCTGCCGTCCTGCCCCCCCTGCCGTCCTGCCCCCCCTGCCGTCCTGCCCCCCCCCCCTGCCGTCCTCCCCCCCCCTGCCGTCCTCCTCCCCCCCTGCCGTCCTGCCCCCCCCCTTGCCGTCCTGCCCCCCCCTGCCGTCCTGCCCCCCCCCCCCCGCCGTCCTGCCCCCCCCTGCCGTCCTGCCCCCCCCCCCCCCTGCCGTCCTGCGCAGGGTCACACTCCCAAAATGCATTCGCGTGTGTTAAGCGTTTGTTTCAAGACTCCTGCGACTGAACGATCAATTGACTGATGTCCTGGCTGCCAAATCCTCTTGTGCTCTAGCGTGGTGTGCTCAACCACTTGAGGTGGACGGTAGAGCGACGGTCTCGCTTCATGCAGGTCGGCGTTCAATCCCCGACCGCCAAGTGGTTGGACACCATTCCTTTCCCCCGTCCCATCCCTAATACTTATCCTGACCCCTTTCCAAGTGCTATATAGTCTTAATGGCTTGGCGTGTTCCACTGGTATGCAGACGAGGAGTCACAATAACGTGGCTCAAATATGTTAAACTTTCCACTGGTTTAACTAGCTTGTTGTTGCGTCTAATTTTGACTCCACACGAGGACTATAGCGTCTGTCTGAAGTGCTTAATACTTCATTTACCATCTTCGCTTGCAGACTACTATCGAAGTTTTCTCCTATCTTTCTGTGATTCATTTAGGTATTTAGTTTCCATCCGCGCTCCGCTCATTATTTTGCCTGTTTGTATGCCATGTTGACTCCCGTGAGTATTTTGTATGTTATGATCATATTTTTTATTTCTTTTAGTGATGAGGGAACATTTTGTACCTGAATGGAGCTCCGGGAGTTCTTCAATTCCTCCCTTGTGTCTAGGAGTTTTCTCGCTGTAAGCATCTTAATCATTACCCTACCTTCAGTGTGGCATTCCTGACAGTCACTGGTTGCCAATCGAGTTGTTTCGTCACCCTGGCGTTTCGTCACCCTGGCGTTTCGAGCGAGCCTCCAGTGTACTTACCCTGCCCATTAGCCTTTGTGACCGTGGATACTATATTGACAAATTTGTCACCTCTGGTTTAACATTCGCAAAAGTCAGATACAGAATTAGTTCTGACCGTTGTTGGACTTGCCTAGTTCTCGGCGCTCTGATTCGCCTTATCTTACTGTTGGGTAAATCTCCCACCTCACTAAAACGTCTTACCAGAAGCGTTCGAACCTAAGTAACCCACGTAACCTATTGTGGGCGGAGCTGGGAAAACGTCAATATTGCGGTGCTTTAATTTTTACCGAAACCCCGAAGTTTTGGCGAATTGGTCGATTTCGGTAAAAACTAATTGTATTAGGTGAATGGACGGGTTGAAGTCTCTGCTTTCCAATTGACTCTCGTATCTGTCTTTCAGGTCCGTGTCTGAATGTTGTGAAATAGGTCGACAGTAGTCTCCTGGCTGTGAGGCTGTCAGAAACATTATGGCATTCACAATAGTGTATAAAGTGTCAGCTTTTTATACATCCTAGCTAGGCTACTGTGGACATTTATTGTGTTTGGGAAGTTAGCTTTCTTTTTCTTTACAAAAGCCCTTATTTCCTATCCCTTATTTCCTGCTTATATGTTTCTTTTTTATGCTGCTATTTTTACACAAATATGCATGTTAATATCGTGTTATTTAAGGCCACCTGCTTGTCTCCTGTTTTGTTACATATTAACATAGGACGCTGGCTAGTTTCCAGGTGTGGTGGCTCTCTTCAGTATCGTACAAAGCCTTGCAATGGCCTGCATAGAGCTTTAGCTCCTTTTAATGAGATCATCTCTGGGCACAGGGCCATTATTTCATCTTCCAGGTGCCTCCTCCTCCTTCACTAGTTGTTTCAATATTCTGTAGTGTCACGTGGTTTGCTTGACCCCTCCCCCCCCCTCCTCTCGCCATTTGAGCAACGCATGCTGCTAATTTGTTAAGATTTCGTAGAATCATTTGCCAACTTCTTCACAAACTTGATCATCATCTCTGAATGTCATCTGTGTTTAATGTAATATTCCAACCATCGGCCATACGGGCAAACGGCCAAAAGCGACGTTCTTTTTAAGAGGACAGGTTGTATTCTGCCCTTTTGCCGTCGTTTTCCTCCTGTTGTGGCTATGGACTAAGTGAGGTTCGTTCTTTAAGCTGCCGTGTTTGTGATTTTTCACACTTAATCATCTTTTCTGTTACGCTATTCTTTCCTGGTCTTCTCAGCGTATGTCCTGGTTTGTGTTTTTTTTTTGTGCGTGTATTTCCCTTTGTTCTGCTTTCTTTGTGATCGTACTTTTTCAATGCACTGTTACTCGTAAAATTTGCATCTTCGCAACTGGGTAAACCACCGTCTCTGTCCATGTACTTGTCATAACTGTGTTTGGAGAGGGAGGAGGATGACTCTGGTGGCTGCTGTGTCCCAGCACTTTAGAGGGACTTCTGTGTTAGTGTTGTCCAGATGCAACATTTTAAAGATTCAAGTCTTTAGTTTCCCGCATTCTGTAAACTAGCTCCCATGTCCATTCATTTACGTATGTAGCGTTGTCTATTTGGCAGGAGAGCGAACACAAGTCTACAGTATGACTGTAGACTGCTGTCTACAGTCCCCCCCCCCCCCCCGCTCAGTGTGACTTGTAAACTGACGTTCCATATGGCCCCCCTCCCCACCTCCCTCATGGTGTAAATCAGGTCTAGTCTGGCTAGTTCATTACTAGCTCATCTTCGTTGGTCCATTAATGTGTTGGCACATAGTTAGTTCTACTTCACTGTCTGCAACACCTTTTGACTTCCATGTGTTTTTTGGCTCTCGTGAGAGGTTCCAGGTTTCCAAGTCTTTTTTTCACTCTTGTTAGAATCTCCTAAGATCATTTGTCTTGCCGGGGCGCTC